GTGCTGTCTTAAATAAGGAATGTTGCTTCTTCACTGACCACTCAGGAATAGTCCAAGAATCTATGGCAAAAGTCAGAGAAGGCTTGGCTAGACGCAAACGGGAACTGGAACAGCAGCAAGGTTGGTTTGAATCATGGTTCAGTCATGCCCCATGGTTAACCACCTTGCTGTCCACCCTAGCTGGTCCCCTCATTATCCTCCTTTTCCTCCTTATCTTTGGGCCCTGCATCATCAATAGATTAGTTACTTTTGTCAAAGACAGAGTCAGTACAGTTCAGCTCATGGTACTCAGACAGCAATACCAACCACTGCACCTTGTTGCTGAGACCAGCCTGGACCCATGATTGGGTCCTTCCTTAGGTTCATCTGAGATGGGGGAATGTGGAGGCCGAGAAAATTAAGGACATCCCACCTCAAGTTTAACCTTAGCAAGAGTACAGCCATCTTAGCTTCAGCAGCCATCTCAGGCCCCAGTGAGCGGGGACTGAATTTTAGTTCCAGGAAAAACCGCTAAGCTTTAGTAACAGGAAAAATCGCTATACTCAACCCTGCAACATCCCGGCAACAGCTAATCAGCTTACTGCAGGAAAGTCTGAAATTTCCCCTCGTCCCCCACCCCCCCAAGCCTCTTGTAATGACACATAAATACCCCTGCCTTAACTAGACTCGGGATCCAAGTCCCTACTCCGCTGTGTCGAGTATACTTGGGCCCAAGCTTAAGTTTGTCGAATAAACCCTCGTGTGATTGCATCAGTGTTGGCTCCTTGGTGGTCTCTCGGACACGAAAACTTGGGCACAGCATTTTGTTTTGTTTGGCCTAGTTTGCATTGCTGCCCACAGCCTCCCAGGAAAGACTGCTTGGCGTTATGGTCCTGATTTGTAGCTTGGATGTCATGATACTCTGTAGGATCAGAGGCAACCTGAGGAGGATACAGTTGTGACAGATTCTGGTGTTCGTAAGAATTGTTTTCTTATTCAGAGGGGATACTGCATCGCGCTCAGTACTGGTAAGGGAAATCTATTACTTGGGTCCCGCAAAGCGGCGAAGTGCTCTGGTGTCCAGAATTCTTTAGGGTGGTGCCACTGGTTGGAAGATTATAGGGGGAATCATGATTGTTAAAAACAAACAAGCAAACAACCCCCCCCCCCCCCCCCCCCCCGCACCCCTACACTGGATTTATAGGGAGTGAGGAGACTACAACAAACTGGTTGGAATGGGCCTCTTTTAAAAGGGTGTCCGCAGGTTTAGTCACTATGGCTGTGAAGGATGAGCAGGTAGAGAAATTTTCGGGATTAACAGAAGGGTGTATCTTGTGTAGCTGAGGGCCTTTGAGAAAAAAATAGTGTAAAGTTTTTATGACTCATGTAGCTTTTTTGGGCACCCTGTCTCAAGGCCATTGCTGTTTTGGGAGGAAAACCAGGGAGTTGAGAGAAAGGACAAGTCTTGGTCAGTGATTGTGGCCTTAGCGCTGCAGCCTGCATTCCTTTCGAATCGAGTGGAAATGGCTTTCATTGTTTACTTGTATCTGTTATCCCTGGGGCATGAGGAGAGATGGTGGAGTCGCAGAGCTGGATTTTACAAGCCAGTAGGAAATCCAAACTTTTACTTTGAACCGTTTCTAAAGTTGTGATAAGGTATAGATGATGTGCAGTAAACCGTACGTATTTTTTTTTTATTATTTATTTGTCAGAGAGAGAGGGAGAGAGAGCAAGCACAGGCAGACAGAATGGCAGGCAGAGTCAGAGGGAGAAGCAGGCTCCCTGATGAGCAAGGAGCCCGATGCGGGACTCGATCCCAGGACGCTGGGATCATGACCTGAGCCGAAGGCAGCTGCTTAACCAACTGAGCCACCCAGGCGTCCCAACCGTACGTATTCAAACTGTACAGCTCAGTAAGCTGAAATTCACTTAACCCAGGAATCTCATCACAATCATGAAAATGGACCTGTCCCTCACTCCGTATTTATGTGCAGCACTTCAGTGGCGTCTCTCTCTCTGCCCTTCAGGCAACCATTGGTCTACTTTCCTTTGTAACAGATTTGTTTGCATTGTCTAGAATTTTATATGGTTGAAATAGTAAATTGTTTACCCTTTTTTCCCTCCTATGGGTGCCTTCTGCAGAATGTTCTTTTTTTTTCAGATTCAGCATGAATAGTTCATCATTTTTATATCGCTGAGAAGTATGATTTTCTATGAACTACCGCTATTTGTATATTCATTCATCTGTTTATGGATATCGACTGCTTTCCGATACTGGTTGTTACAAATAAAATCACTACAGACTTTTTTTTAAATTTTCTTTAAAGATTTTTATTTGTTTATTTGACAGAGATCACAAGGAGGTAGAGAGGAAGGCAGAGAGAGAAGGGGAGAAGCAGGCTCCCCGCCGAGCAGAGAGCCCAATGCGGGGCTCGATCCCAGGACTCTGGGATCATGACCCGAGCTGAAGGCAGAGGCTTTAACCCACTGAAACCACCCAGGCGCCGCACTACAGACATTTTAATACAATTCACTATGTGGCTATATTTCTTTTCTCTTGTGTTAATACTTCAGGGTGCAATGCTGGAATCACAAGCTGGGTGAATATTAACTTTTTATGTATATTACATAGTGCGATAAGGGAGGCATCTTTGATAATGGGGTCATTGGGCAAAAACTTGAAGGATAAGAGGGATAACTACGTGGGTATTTTCAGAATAAGTTCTAGGCAAAATGTGCAGGTGAGTAGATAGCTTCAGTAGGTGGAGCCCTCACAGGGCTCCTAAGCTGTTGAAGACTCCAGCCAGGTTGGCCATTAGCATGACTTGCTCACTGCAGAGACACTCAGGGAACAGATGTGAGGAAGTCTGGCTCTGCCTCTGGGAGTCTGCAATTCTTCACTGTGGCAGACTGCAAGGCCTGAACCTAGGCAGCCTCATTTTTCATCAAAATCTGGTTTCCAAGTTTAATTCCTAGACCTTTACCATTCGTGTCACCCAGTGATTTGTTAGAAATGCTCGTTCTCATTTCAGAAACTGGCCTAGTGAAACAGATTGTGTGGATCAAGACCTTAGAATCTATGTTTTAACAATTTTCCAGGTGATTCTGATATAACATTCCATTGTACTGTTGTGGTTTCTGTAGACCAGGTCACAGTGTTTCTCACAATAGCAGGAGTCACCTCTAAATCTGCAGGATTTTTTACTGATACTAAAAAAGAAGGGATCTGTAGAGATTGTGTAATATACAGACCATACTTCTAAGCACATTCACGTTATGTTCTTCCATTGTGCCTACCACATTCCAAGATGCTATATGATTTAGGATTTCTTCTTTCATGAATTCTGTGACCTCCTTGTATATAATATAACCCCCAGAAGGGCAGGAGTCTTTTTCCTGTTGTGTCCAGATGTCTCCTTTGCATCTACAATAAGTTCTTGAAGCCAAACACTCATTGATTATTTGTTAGAACAGTGAATAAGCAAGACACTTTAGCTTCCCTTTATATTTTCACAAGTCGACCTATTCCTAATGTCCCTGTTAGCTTTCCCTGAATGTTGGTATCACTTACTTTCAGGAATGGATAAGAATCAAATTCAGGAGACAAAGTCATCAGAATGATTGTTTTAGTCACATACTCAGCTTAACTATATCTTTTCTCAGACATCACTGCTACAATTTCTCTAAGATCTTCACATTTTTATCATTCACTGGTATTTCCACTGAGACATTTCTGACAATCTCTGAATCATGATAGAGCCATTGTCAGTAGCTTTGTGTAATTTGCATTTTTTAGCTGTTTTTCTTGGATAATGTCAATTCCTTATGCAGAAATCTCCCTGTAGGGGCGCCTGGGTGGCTCAGTGGGTTAGGCCTCTGCCTTCGGCTCAGGTCATGATCCCAGGGTCCTCCAATCGAGCCCCGCATTGGGCTCTCTGCTCAGCGGGAGGCCTGCTTCCTCCTCTCTCTCCCTCTGCCTGCCTCTCTGCCTGCTTGTGATCTCTCTCTCTGTCAAATAAATAAAATAAAATAAAATAAAAAAGTATTAAGAAAAGAAAAGAAAACTCCCTGTAATCGCCGGGGAAATGGTAACCACTTTCCAGTAATGAGATGAGCACAGAGATTTAAGTTACCCTCTGCATTTTGGAAATCAGAGCACCCTTTTCATACGTACTAACACCTGTAAACCTTGAAGCCACCGTCCGCTATCAGAATAGCATGTCTTTCACAGTTCTGTTGTTGAGATAGATGTCAGATTTCCAAAAGGTAGTGACTTTCAGTCTATCCAAAAAGAGATACTAAATAGATACACGTGTTGCTAAGTTGAACACAGTAATTTACTGTACAGTCAAGGGAGATACCTTCTATGGTAATTACAGAGATCAGCTTTGTATTCCTGCTTCGGGGTAGTCCAACATCCCTCTTCGATAATTCCTGTCATGACCCAATCTGGTTTTTTCTGTCGTCCTGATCAAACATAGAGCGACTGATAAAACCAAGTGTAACACTGACTTCATAGTGCATGGATTTGAATTGCAACGTGACGTGTTGAGCTTGCATGACTACGGATGGTAAGCGTATTTGAATCTGTAGCCTTTGGGAGTATCTGAAATATGTTTAGCTTCTGGGAGCAAGCGGAGCTTCACGGAGTCCGGAAGAACACGTCCCTGTACTCTTGGGTGAACAGCTACAAGCAACACACAACACTCCCTCCAAAACTTGAGTTCTCCTTTAAGAAGAGACAAAGACCCTTCTAATCTCTTGGACTCATAGACGGCATCTCCCAACGCAGCTACCGGGTCGAAAATCGTCTGCAGGTCGGCTGCCGAGCACCCTTACCCACGGCGTCTGAATCCGTGGGAACTACATTACCCTGTATGCTCCGCGCCTAACGGCCGCCTCGCTGAACCAATGAAGGTTCACAACAGTCGTCTTCCGTGTGTGACACCGAACGCGGGGCGGGACTTCCGGCGTCCTCCTCCGGGCGGTCATTTTGGCTTCTCCCCTGTGTTCATCCGGGCAGAAGTTCCGGAGCGCTGGGTGTGTGCGAGGTGACTTGCAAGAGAAGGAGTCAGAGGAGTCTTTGACCCCGCCATACAGAGGCGGGTCTGAGGCGAGGCGACGCTGCCCGGGGTGCCCCGCACCAGGGCCGGTATAAGAACCGCCTGCCCGCTCCCGGCCCCGCTCCGCCCACAGGCCCGGATGGCGGCAGCCACGCTGAGGGACCCGGCTCAGGTAAATGCTGCGTTTTCCGCCCCTCACCGCCACCCAGATCCTAAAGCTCCGGTTGAGGGGCGCCGGCTCATGTCCTCACATCCCACGTCACTCTAGGATAACGAGGCACTAGTAGGTGGGGTCCCGTTTCTGACAATGACTCTGAATAAACATGACATCTCAGCTTCCCGGTTTTGTTTCACTGGTGATTAGTTATGGGGAGCGTTTAATTTCACTGTTGTGATTAGGTGTGGGGGAGTGTTGCACGCAGAGGAACCGACCTCTGCAAAGGCGTGGAGGTGCCGCTGAGCTGGGAACATTCGGGACAGCTGGGGGTGGTTGTGCCTGAGGGGAGCAGTGTTTGAGGCGGAGTCTCACCTGGAGGAGCAGGCCGAGGGTGCTGCCTGCGTGCTCAGGACTCTGGCAGCTGTGGATAATTGTAAACAAAGGAGCGACACGAATGACATTAGGATTTTAAGGCTTCTCGAAGGCTACTGATTGGAAAAACAGACGGAAGGAGAGTGATGGAGACATTGAGGCATTAGGAGGTTGACTCCTTTTTCGAGGACACAGAGCTAGTAAGACGAAACTCTGAGATATAAAAGGTAGACTCCAGTCATAAATTCACTCGCTTACCGGCCAGGCATGGGTACACAGAAGAGTCTGAGCCCACTGAAACCCGACATGTATTCATCTATAACCTGCCGGTTAAAACATGGCTACAGACGCGCTTATGGAACCTACACAAGTATGTGTAGGGTGTCCTAGTCCCTCACTGGCTCCTATTCCCACTCCTGTATTCTCCACTGTAGTGTGCAGGGACTACGTGCCATTCTTCCAGACCTTGGGTCTAGGAACCCTGGGGAAACCCCAAGCCTCTGCCCTGGGTCCATATGAGGAATTATATGGGGGTATTTCCATTTGGGACACCTGATATAAGGTGTGGAAAGGTTATCTCAATACAGGGCTGTAAAAACATTTGTGGAGGTAATCTGGGAGCATTAAGGAAACCATAGCTTCCCTTTCCTTCAGGTGGGAGCAGTAAGATGGGATTCAGGACTGGAATGGCAGCCTGAGAATTTGGTAACCTGTACTGGAGGTGATGGGAACTTTGGGTTCGAGAAGGGAGATGTTCTTAGCCAGGTCTTAACAGGCTTCTTCCGCCTGCATGGTAGCGAACAGATTGTGAGGATGAGGGAAGAGGAAGCAAAACGAGAGTGGAGTCCACTGTAGTGGTCCAGTTGAGGGTTCATGGGACAGAGTGGTGGCTTAGAAGTGGCTGGACTCTGGATCAGTTTTTATTAAGAGTCAATTGGATTTCCTGATGTGCAAGGGAAGTCACATGATTGGTCTCTTAGTATTGCTGTATAACAAAATACCACAAGCTCGGCAATTTATAAATTTCAGAAATTTATTTCTCACAGCTCTGGAGGCAAGAAGTCCAAGATCAGGATGCTTACATAGTCAGGTTTTGTGTCTAGTGAGGGCCTCCTTCCTAATTTCCACCCAAAGGTCCCAGCTCCTAATACCATCAGTTTAGTTGGGGGGGGGGGTGTAGAGTGTCAAAATACAAATTTGGGGGGGCATAAACATTTTTTTTCTGGAACAGTGAGAAAGTGAAGCACAGGATTTGGAGATGACCCGACTCTTTTTTAAAGATTTATTATTTATCTGACAGATCACAAGTAGGCAGAGAGGCAGGCAGAGAGAGAGGAGGAAGCAGGCTCCCTGCTGAGCAGAGGACCCCGGGATCACGACCTGAGCCGAAGATAGAGGCCTCAACCCACTGAGCCACCCAGGCGCCCCTGACCCAAAGGTTTTGATTTAAACAACAGGAAGGATGAAAATTCCAGCAGATAAGGGGAAATTCATCATAGAGTAATTTTAACTGGGGATATCAGTAACTTTCTGTTGGCTATTTTAAGATCTGAGGTGTTTCAGAGACCTGTGAGTGAGAGCATCAAGTAGGCAGCCAGACACCCACATCTGGAATTCTGGGGAGGGGTTCAGGATGGAAACATCCAACATATGGTGGCAACCGTATATGTCCAGGTAGGTGAGTTATATTTGGGAGGTGCAATCTCTAGATAATGATGGTAAAACCATTTTCAGACTAGGAAAGGAAAGGTGGTGGCTGAGAAGTGGGCCTCTTGCTTGGATATCTGGTTGATGGCTTTGAGTTTTCACATACTTAACTTAGTGAAGTAAGTGGCACAAAGGGTGAAAAGGTCAAGGACAGGGTAGACTCAGAGCCGATGAAGGGTACTAGTAGAAGAGTGAGACATGAGATGGATAGAGAGGCATAGGAGTTGGCACATTAATACTCAGTCCTTGGAGCTAGTGTTTATTTCACTCAAAGGACTTCGTGGATTTTGTGGCAACTTTGGTGGGGCCTGGGATATTTCATTCAGGCTGGAGGATTAGGTTAGCAGCAAATCTGTGAGAACTTTTGCAACTCAGGTGGGTGACTGGTGGAGCTGCACTTTGAATGAAGGACTAAGTTAAAAGAGGAAAGTTCTGACTGCAGAAGGCACAGCAAGCGCAGCACAGAAATGGGAAGAGGCCATGGGTATCTGAAATCTGCAGGTCATTCTAGGCTGTGGTGGTTGTTGCGGGAAACAGACTTAAGCAGGGAGAACTACATAGCAGGCTTCAGAGCTGCCTCTGACCATGAGGCTCATCAGAGGATCAGTTGGGTCTTGACTGGGTTTACAAAAACCTTTCTGGATACCATGCAGTAGGTAACATGAGGCCAGGGAGATGCTTGTCTTGTGGGGCAGGAAGTGGCTGTGGCTTCTAAAAAGAAGCAAGGAAGAGCCTCTCTAGGAAACTAAGATATTTAAAGGTGATCATATATGCTGTAGTTAACAGACACAGCACAGGGAATATGCATTCATAGAAGAGATTTGAGTGACCCCAGAACTTCTGAGCTAGGGAGATTAGTGAAGGTCTTCTCCTGCACAGGCACAGTTCTTAATGATTAGAAGTGTTTGCTGTTTTTTCAGATGCCCAGATCTTGACAAAAGAATGCAGAGCATACAAAGAAATAAGGAAACATGGCTCAATTGAAAGAACCTGGAAACTAGCCCTATAAAAATGTAGGCCTCTGAATTACTTGACAGAAGTTTAAAACGACTGTCCTAAAGATGCTCAGTGACTTAAGAGAACACAGACAACAATATCAGAAAACAATTCATGGACAATGTAAGAATATCAACAGAGATAGAAACTGTAAAAGAGAACAAACCAGATATTCTAGAGCTGAACAATACAACAATTAAACTAGAAAATTTACTAGAGGGGTTCAGTAGCAGACTTGATCAGGTAGAATAAAGAATCTGTAAACTTGAAGACAGGACATTAAAGAATCTGTAAACTTGAAGACAGGTCATTTGAAATTGTCAAGGCAGAGGAGTCACTGTTAAGGGACTTATGGGATACCAGCCAACTGACCAGTATATGCATTATGGCAGGCCCAGAAGCAGAAGATTGGGACTTTATTTGCAAAAGATATCCAACAGGACAAGTATCTAAAATAAGGAATATCAATAGTTATAATTTTTTAAAAGAACAAGCAAAAAATGTGAACAGATATTTCCAAAGGAAATTATGGCAAAAAGTTACATAAAAAGATATTGGAAAGGGTCATTTTAAAATGAAAATTAAACCCATAATGACTTAACCATTGTGCACTTTTAAAATCATTAAAATTAAGGGGCACCTGGGTGGCTCAGTCATTAAGCATCTGCCTTCAGCTCAGGTCGCGATCCCAGGGTCCTGGGATTGAGCCCCACAACAGGCTCCCTGCTCAGTAGGCTCCTTTTTTTATTTATAAGCTGCTTTTGTTACTGCTGTTGCTTGATTGTTTTTGTTTTTTAGATTGCACACATAACTGAAATCATATATTTGTCTTTCTCTGATTTATTATGCCACTTAGCATAATACCTTTTAGATCATCCATGTTGTGAATGGCAAGATGTTTTGTTTTGTTTTTTTAAATAATCTCCATGCCTAAAGTGAGACTTGAACCCATGACCTGGAGATTGAGTCACATGCTCTACCAGTGAACCAGCCAAGTGCCTCATGATTTCATTTTTTTTTTTTAAATGACTGAGTAATATACTCTTGGGTGCATATATACACAACACCTCACATCTTTATTCATTCATCTATCAGTGGATGCTTAGCCTGGGTCCATATTTTATCTATTGCAAATAATGCTGTGGTAAACAGGGATGTGTATATCTTTTTGAATTAGTGTTTTCATTTTCTTCAGGCAGATACCCTGAATTGGAATTGGCAGAATTGGAATTACTGGATCGTATATATTTGTTTTTTCTTTTTGTATATATTTCCTTTTTTTTTTTTTTAAGTACTAAAGTATTTATTTTTATTTATTTTTTACTAATATATGGTGTATTATTTGCTTCAGGGGTACAGATCTGTGAATCATCAGTCTTACACAATTCACAGGATTATATATATTTCTATTTTTGTTTTTCTAGGGATCCTCCATACTGTTTTCCAGAGTGGCTGCACCACTTTACATATCCCCCCCAACTCCCAAACACACACAATGCACAAGAATTGTGTTTTTGATACTAGCCATTTTGAGTGGTGTGAGGTGATAAATCATTGTGGATTTGATTTGCATTTCCCTGATGATTAGGGATGTTGAGCATCTTTTCATATCTGTTAGCCATCTGTATGTTTCTTTGGAAAAATGTGCATTTAGGTCTTCTACCAATTTTTAATTGGCTTGTTTGGGGGGGGTTTGGTGTTGAGGTGTGTGAGTTCTTTATATATTTTGGATATTAACCCCTTTATATATTTTGGATATTATTGGATATATTAGCAAATATCTTTTCTAATTCAGTAGGTTGCCTCTTTGTTTTGTTGATGGTTTGCTTTGCTATGTGTAATTTTTTTACTTTGATGTAGTCCCAATTCATTTTTGTTATTTCCCTTTCTGAGGAGATATATCTAGAATAAAGTGTTGCTAAGGCTGATGTCAAAGAAAT